CCACCTGTTTGAAATATTATTCTCAAAGTACAGAAAGAATGTCCGCATCCTGAGATGGACGATGTACCCACAAAAGTTCAACTTTACTTGAATATCCTGGCGGCCTGTCAAGAAGGCCAGCATCTATATAACATCATTATTATGAATTCTGTATTGATTGTTAATGATAATTTGATGACAAATTACTGATTATTAACTCGCATTACAAGTCGTGCACATAAGTTATGTTCGGCGTATTTGCAGTTATTAATAACGTTTTAGCTGTTTGAGCACAAAGAGCACAAGTTAACATTCTCCAGCCGAGACTTTCACAAGTAACGATCCTTCACAAGGCAGGAAAAGATGTCACGTACATCCAAGGACGTAGCAGCAATATTATGTAACAGTTGTGTGTTTTCGCTAAATACGTATCAGGGCTTTGCTGATCCTGGGTTAGTGAGTTAGTCGAGGTGGGGAGGAATAATTTGCGATCTAGTGCACGTTGGCTGCCACTGTCTATTGTCATGCCGTGAAGGCGTAGAGTGTCTTTAATCTTGTCGATCCATTTTTTTCGCGGCCGTCCTCTTGCTCTTGTAGCTGATCGTCTGAGATATAGTGCTTGTGATGGTATGTGATCTTGCTGCATTCTAACGAACGAGATGGTCAAGCCACTTGATCTGCTGTTTCTCGATGAATCTAGTACAATGTATCGTTTCCACAATTTGCCTGCATTGCTTTCGGTTTTGTTTACATTGAACTTCAAGTTGTATTTACTGCATGCTGAGTTTAATGTGTTAATCGCCCCCAGAAATGCAGATTTTTGTTCATGGAAGTAGTCAGGCACGATAAGTTGGTTACTATACACACGTAGAATTCCTGCATAAGGTATTTCACCAGCTAACACTCAACCCTGCCACCGACCACATTGAACAAAACGACACAATAGCTGCACGAATGAAAGGCATTTCATGGGAAAAACTCAGCTCATAGGGCTGCAACCAAGCCCCAAAGTCAGTAGCTCAGGCAGCGATAGTTTATCCTGGGCTCTTTTAGAAATCGTATGTGCTGGCCCAGCCTTTTGGATTCTGGCAGAGAGATTGTTCAGGATGTCACTTGATGATATCGGCTATTTGGTGTGATGGTCCGTCGTCTTTTCTGCCTGGTACACAAATCGTAAATTACGAGACAAAAGGTTTCTGTCATCATTTATGCTGGATCTATGTTGATTGGATTTTATGTACGGATACAAGCTCGAGAGAGGACCATAAATAACTGCATGGTTGAAAGAGGAGGATTATATTAAATTATGGTGGATAGCTGCGTATATGCGATTAATTTGCAGCATAGATACTGACTGATATATATGTCGGTATGTCATGTTATGTTATTTTATGTAATCACAATCGACGTCACTAAACATTGGGCATTACAGTGCGCGCTCAGTCCTCTGATGCAGCAGCCACTCCAAGGCATTTTTTCTAAATGTTCTCATGGGAGTTTGGTTATAAAGTCTCCTATCGCGGCCTCGAATCATCATAGGCGTGCTTCACTGTGTTTTACTACCATGTCACGCCATCGTGTTAATATAAGGGTTTCGTCATTATCCACTAGTGCAGGCCGTACAGCGTTGATGATTTCTGATCTTTCCATTGCTTCTTCCCACTTGCGAAGGAGCATTGCTTGCTAGTTGGTCTGTCTCCTACTGTGTCATTGTATCAGAGACAGTGTTGATTCTGTGCAAAAATACGTTGACATCTCTTCCTCTGTCATTGTTGCTATATTATAAAATAGAGAGGCATGTGTTTCACTGCCAGTCAAGACGAGGAGTGATACCACAAAGCATGGGCTGCACTGTAGAGACTCGGTTTTACCCTTTACGACAGCGAAACCAAGTGTGTAGATCCATGTGAGGGAGATTAAGTGAGATGTTTGAATGCTTTGTATCCATTCAGATCACACACCGCCTGTTGCTATCTTCTGAAGCATGTTCAAGGAGTCTGATACAATGCATGTCTGGCTGTTTGCCCCGCTGCCCACGCTAATACATCTAGCAGTATATTCGCCGTCTTATCGCAAATGCAGTTTTGATCCCTGGGGAGAAATCAAACGTGAGGGCGAGAGTTTGGATATTTTATCCATATAAAGTTGCGAGTTAATTTATACCTGTAATGTTTTAAGGCAGCATTGAAAACAGGAAGTAGTAGAGAATACACAGTTGCTATGTAAACTAGTTAAAACGTCAAATAATATACCCTCAGTGTTCTTAACATTCGCTGTTACAGAGTCATCTGGTGTTTCGGATTGTTTCTGCATGACGTCCCCACTAGGGTTTTAGCCTGTAAATTTTCATAGACACTTTGCTTGGTGAGCGTTGCATAAGATGATTGACTGTGATTACACTTTCATAATTTATACGTGATTCATAGTTATTACTTGCCTGTTCTCTTACGCACTCCTTCTTACTTCTGTACTGTTAGCAATTATCACAATTATCAGTGGTCACACAAAAATTCGTTGGGACTTTCAGCTTTAAGACAAACGGGTCATTCCCTAATTGCTCAGTTCCTACGCCAGAGAAAAGCAGATATGATGCTTGTCATTGTCCTTTGTATGAAATGGAAAAAAATTTGATATCGCGGCAAAGCCAAATAGCTTACCAAAGCTTTAAATGCTCCAGGCAGCCCTCAGAAGGTCCAACACAAATAGTCTGCCACTAGAATCACCTCTTAGTATCGACAGAAGCGGTAATCACAATAAACCAGCAGCTGCACAGGCAATATTATAAAAGGAACTATCGGTTCTATAGTAACAGGTTTTTTTTCTTATCCGCAGTTCTGAAAGTAAACCACCTTGGGTAAAACTAAAACACATTCCACGTCACATTCACAGCTCACAGTCTTAGTGTTAGACTGGGCTAGTGCAAATCAAATGAAATGTCTCTCACTGTGGCATTTGAAAAATGGATAAACAAACAATTAGTCGCGGAACAATCCAGAAATATGTGCGCGCAGTAATCTTAGTTGCCAGAGGAGCCAAAGCCAATAGTCACAAGTTGAAATGAAGTTTGTCGTTGATGGAAGTAGTCAGACACGATATGTTGGCTATTATACACGCGTAGAATTATTACATAAGGTATTTTACCAGCTCACACGTGAACGGCTCCCGGGCATATTTTCTACCACGATACGATCGCTGCACAAATGAAAGGATTTCCATGGGGGGGGGGGGGGGGGGGGGGGCAAAGCTCACAGGGCTCCACCAAAGCACTAAACTCAGTAGCTTAGGCAGCGAAACTGTAGACTACCGTCCAAATATGAAAACTTCATTAGCAAAGCGCAGTCGGAAGCACCAAAGACTTCGAAGCTTAACATTCTGCCTGCCTTATCCTAGATTTTAGCCACGAGCTTTGCGATATATCAGCATGTAACTCATCTCAGTAGATGAGCGACAGAATGTATTTTCAATGGAATAGAATAGCATACCTCAGAAGCAAAAAACATATAATAACCTGTACCAAAGAGCAGCAGCGGTACTACAGTCCATCATAGTAGATGATGTAGTGTGCTGAACCTTGTCTGACGTCAGAATGTGCAGAAATATTACTCGCGGTCAATAGATGGTGCTTCCCTACGAGGCCTTCAGGTTTGAGGTTTGAAGTTTGAACAATGAATGAACATCATGGCACAAGGGGAGTAACCCATAAGTGCTCCGTTCTACTTCTAACTCAAGTCTGAGTGCGAAGTAGCTCAGCGCAGTGCATGGGCGATAACCGGCGAGGTTCCTGAAATATTTCGAAATATTTTTAACTCTAAATTTGCCCGGGCAGCGCCGTTGGGTTACTCTTTTCGATTTCCAACTGTCAAGCGAATTGTTTACGTGCTCAACAATACACAGTGGCGTCCGATCTCACTACCCAGAGACCAGAGGAATTATTAGAAGTCCACTTGAAAACAAATCACAGCCTTCAACCAGGCCTGAAACAGGAACCTCCAACACTCGAGGCGGACGCCATGTCTGGAGACCACGCAGCTCCCCACGAGGCCATTAACTCTGTGGTCACTAACTGAGTGTGTTCGGAACCATTGTAAACAATCTGTCACAGAAGTTACGCCGTTTTGAAACTTCCTACATTAGCTAAACGCTTGATGGAAAGGCCTGCATCACCATGATGGAGTTCCATTCACTGGTGAATTCCTATCGGTTTCTTTCTTTCACAATAGGCAAATATAATGAATAACAGAAGGCTGCTCCTCTATGGTGGATGTCAAAAATGGGGCTGCTATCTTTAAACGTCGTTCTGGTAATATGGTAATCCTAGTTTCAGCTTCATAGCAGACAGGCAACCCCATAATTGCTCCGCTCCTGTGCCAACGAAAAACACACGTAGCTCACAGTGTCACGCCATGCACTCAACACAGAAGCTGGGCGACGAAGCTATATCATTCCAGTCTACAAATGGAGCAAAAATGCAACGGCCACCGTCTGGCAGGAAAATTGAGAAAAAAAAAAAAAGGTGGCCTGAAGCATTATATGAGGGTTAATAAACGGTCACCCCAGCAGTACCCTCATTATTAGCTGGGGAAGGGACTTAGGACATTACATCAACCAGCAGGCGTCGCCCCTACAACGACCTGCCTGCCTACGTTAACGACTGTTCACCCAACAGCCATGCAGTTCTTTGGCACGAAGGAGACACCTTGAACTTGGGTCATTGCTACGTCATTGTGTTCGTGTACACCATAGTGTCACAAGCAGAACATTTTTAAAATTCGTAACAACAGAATTGATAGGTTACGAAAAAACTACATGGTTACTGTAATTTCCATCACACTTCCAATCTGAAGTTCCTCTTGTCTAAAATAAAATTAAATGTACAAATACTCAAAAACAGAAGGTCTTTTTGTTGTTTGGAGGTGCACTAATCTCTACTCAAATTTTCGAGGGCGTTGGAGAGAGGGGTGTTGATCAAAGTGCCTGAGCTACCAGATTACCGTGTACCTGACTTACCTAATTTATAACACAGTACCACGTCTGACCTGTGTGTATATCTCCGCTGGCGTGCCCAAGATCAGAATCGCTGAGATGAACGAGACAAGGATGGAAATGGCCACTGGAAGTATGGACATGCTTCTGTTGGCAAGCAGGTATTCACCTGCAAACAATGGAGATTATTCATTGGTAATGTTTGTCTTGGGAAGCCTGCGTGGTCTGGCGGCTGAATGCTCGCCTGCGGATCGGAAGGTCGTGGGTTCGGTTCACAGGACCGGACTTTTTTCAAAAATTACCTTAGCTTCCAGGTTGACCCAGCCTTGAGTGAGTACCAGGTGCAGTCCTAGCTAGTAACGTTGTGATGCTGACCACATCACCCAACAAGTGCCGTTGGGTTTATAAAATAAAGGTCTAGCTCTATATGCCCAAAACGTCTGAAAGGCGTGGAAAAAGGTCCTTTACTATATTAACAATTTAATATTTGTCTTGAACGGGCTGGGCTCATTCTGTTTCTGTTTAAACAACGGTTCGACTTCATGGCACAAGAGTGGTAACCCATTAGTGCTCCGTTTTACTTCCAACTCAAGCCTAATTCCTAAGTTGTCAGCGCAGGGCACAAACTCCGTATTAACGGAAATGATCATTAATATTACCTTAGGTAGATTTTAAACTCTAAATTTTGCCCGGGCAGCGCCGTTAGGCTAGTCTTTTAGATTTTCAACTGCCAAGTTTTTTTTAGGTGCGCAACAATACACACAGGCGTCCGTCATCGAGATTGATCGCCGGAATTTTAAAATGTTATTACTAAACAGAAGTGAACGGATCTATTCTAGTAGCGTCTCAAAATGTTTAGAAAAGTTTGAAGTTTTGTTTAACCTTGTTTGACTGAACGTGGGACGGTGAGCGACTTTTTTTTATCGGTTTGGCTCCCAGGTTGACCGACTTTCGGGTGGGTACCAGGTATAGTCCTGGGAAGTAAAGGCAGCCGGTGTAATATTGACCACATCACCAACCGAGTACCGATTACTCTTTAAAAATATAGGTCTAGCCATATGTGCCCAATGTGTATGAAGGTTCAGAACATGGTCTTTTGCTTCCTTGTATGGCCAAGATTCTTAAAATAGCGCTGAGAAGATACGGAACATTAAGCACCTATAGGGGCTGGTTGTACAAATAATTTGTCTTCGAAATATTATAACACTTCAAACTCCCGGCAAACAAGTGGAACTTCACCAGCCCCGGACACGGTTCAGAAGACGTCACAGGAGACTGAAAATGGTCTAGATGCCAGCACAACTACAAATGGCTCCCATATCGAAGAGTACAAAGGAAGTTTTAAGCTGTAAAGTTTTTTTTTTAAAAACATTTTCAGACGTTGTGTATTTCATGTATATCCATGAAATAATATTTCTTTGAAATAGTATAACACTTTAAACTCCCAACTCCAAGTGTGGGTTTCTGAGCCCTATTGTGGGGGGTGGGGTGGGGGGGGGGAGGACCAGAATATATCCATCGCCTCCCCAACCAGCATGTCGTAAGAGTCGACTAATGTGGGGCATCCTTCGAAATCGGAGTTCATCTGCTTGAGAAGCAAGAAACCAAGAGTCTGCATACAATTAGGCCAGATGTGAGAAACGGATATGCACGCAACACTCAGGTTGTGGAACAAGACTAAAGTCCGGATGTAGACAAACACCCACTACTTTCCCCTAGGAACTTCCGGTTAAAATGGACGCTAGACAGCGGCGCTGTGTCGGAGCGGAGGCAAATTTTTTGCTTCTGCCGGACGGTGGCCGAAGTATTTTTGCTCCATTTGTAGACTGGATATAGTTTCGTCGCCCAGCTTCTGAGTTGAATGCATGGCGTGACCCTGTGAGCTGCGGATTGCATTTGGAATGTTTTTTCGACTGTGACCAACGTGGTGTGAATTGTAGATTCAGAAAATGGCGCGATGCCGGTCGTCAATGTTGGCGGTGCCCGTGTCTGATTACAATTGATCGCGTGGGAAACTGCTGATCTGTTGGCGACAAGTTCTGCTATCATCAATGATTGTATGTATTATACATACATGCATTTCTAATGTTGGACTGTTTGTGTTAGCACTTCGGATGGCTACCATATGCTTTAATGCGAGTGTATGCTAGATATGCTGAGACAGCAGTCTGTCAATCTTTCCACAAGGGACTGTGATAAACATTCTGGGTGTTTTTCGCTGGCACAGGAGCAGAGCAAAGATGGGGCGACCCGTTTGCTATGAAGCTGAAACTAAGACTACCAGACTACCAGACTACCCTAGCCTTTACATCCAGTAAACGCAAAGAAAAAGAAGAGACTGCCGGTAATCATTCTCGAAGACCAAGTACAAGTCAATGATGTGGTTTCCAGTTTCATTCAACGGTTCAACATCATGGCTCACGGGTACAATCCATAAGTGCTCCGTTCTACTTCTAACTCAAGCTGGAGTTTTAAGAATCTCAACGATGTGCACAAACTCCGTTGCACCGGTGAGGATCCTGAAATACTTTGAGTAGATTTTTAACTCAAAATGTTTGCCCGGGCGGCGCCGTTAGGCAACTTTTTTTCGATTTCCAACTGCAATGGTAGTTTTTACGTGCGCAACAACACACACGGGCGTCCGATCATACTACCCAAAGGCCAGTGGAAATTACTAGAAGTCCACGTGAAAAAATCCCAGCCTTCCACGGGGCTTGAACCCGGGACCTCCAGTACTCGAGGCTGACGCCATACGTCGAGACCACTCAGCCCCCTGTTACACCGTTACAAACTGTAAAAAAAAAAAAAAAAAAAGCCATTTCACGCGTTCAGGCGTATTTGGTATACATGGCTAGACCGATGTTTTGTAGACAAATCATCACTTGGTAGGTGCCCGTGATCAGCATCAGAAGAACAGAGTTTAATTCTTATGACTTTAACTGGTAGCCATTTGTGGCTAAGTCGACCTGGGTGCCAGGTTTATTTCGGAAGAAAAAAGTCAGGTTTCGCAATGCGTTTTGATTCGCAGGTGAGTGTCTATCCAATACATTACGATGAAAACAAGAGGGAGAAGTAGAGATGGCACTGGTAGGATTTGGAATAGAAATAAAAGAGGTAGTGCTGTTGCTGGCACCTTTCAGTTTTTCCAGAGGACTGTATTATAATGTACTTACTAGGGGAGGCATACGTATCAAGCACTTCCTCTTTATAGTGCTAAGCCGGGGTGGTATTGTAGAGACCAGGTTTTGCTCGTGCATCATTATACCTCTCCCGGCCTGCCTTGTCTACTCCAAAAGTAAGGTAACACAAATATGTTTAGAAAAAAGCAAGCTGTCGGATCAGAAGATCAGTACCCATTTTGTCAACCTTTTGGAGCTTTTCTCCTAGACCAGCTGCCTTAAGCGGCAAAGGGCCTTGATGGTAGTATTCATTGTTTTTTTTTGGTGGTATTACTATATGGTGGTAGTATTATAAGTTGTTTTACTGATAGTAGTAGTAGCAGCAGCAGTAACAGTAGCAGCCGCAGAAGCAGCAGCAGCAAAAGTAATAGTAACAGTAGTGAAAGTAGTAGTAGAAACAGTACTTCGGATAACAGTAGTAGTTGTTTGAACTAATTCTACTTCCACGTTTCGTTTAGTTTGTTATTTTTTTCATGACAACATTTTCATGTAAATATAATAGTAATGATCATGACAAATAAAATCTGGCACAGTCTGTAGCGATTGCACTAGACATGCGGTTCTAAATGTTTGGCCTTAAAGGATCCAGAAGACAACGTTGCAAAAATGACAGATACGGGCAGTAAGGATATTTATTTCATATCGATGTTGGTGGGATTTGATCAATGTAATATTCTAGTAGTAGTATTTATTGTCCTAGTCGTTGTAGCAATTGTTGTAACATTATTAAACATTGTTGTTGTTATGGTGGAGGTGGTAGAGACGCAGCAGTAGTAGTAGTGATGCATTTGTAGCTGATGTTGTAACAGTAATGGTAGCGGTGGAAGTGGTACTAATCGTTGTCTGCTCTGCTGTTGTTGATGTTGTAATAGTAACAGTATCTGTAGTAGCTACTGTTGTTCATGGAGGAAGAATAACAAAGTGATTGTAATATAAAGTGATGATAGTTGTTGTTGTGCAACCTCAGCAACATTGGTAGTAGTTGTAGTAGCAGGAGTAGTTGAAGTAATCGATGGATGAAGTCTTTTACGGGATGTTGCAGAACTCAACATCAGCATATGTTGGCTTTTGCAGTTATTCTAGGCACATTTTGTTCAGTAGTTTGCCATTGCTTACATATAGGTCAACTCTAGATACCACTGTCTAAATTACCACAAGGCGGTCTGCTGACAAATCGCCTGCAGATAGTATTGAACCCGGTAGGCCAGCATTACGAAGGGCGTTCACAACACCTAAGCCACAAACGCCGAAAAGCGCTTTGCAAAAATGATGAATAAAGGGGTCAGGAAAAGAAGGAATTTGGTAAGAAAAAAAAGATAATTATTAAAATAATATTAATATGTGTTTTTAAAAAAGGAAACTATATTAAACGACTGTTTGATTTAATACGATACCTTGTGTTCTTTGTTTTCCACCCTTAGTGGCAAAGTAGACACCGATGGCGGCCGAAACAACGAGCATTGCAACAAACAAAATGTAGTCCAAGACTCCAAATTCATTCTTGATGATGGCCATTGTAGCTGTTTCAAGTTTTGTAGCTATTCTAAGATTGTAAAGTGCTATAGGTGTTTCATTAACGCTGTTATGAGTGTTGTGGCTAACTGTGTAGGATCTACGGGTGGCAATTTTTTTTCAGAAGTTTACGGTGTAGTCTCTAAGAGTGTAAAGTGTCATAGATGTTTTACCAACACTTATTAGCTATTGCAACTAACGGTCAAGACCTTTACAGTTTGAAGTGCGACAGGTATTTCACCAGCACGCTAAAGTGTGTTCTAGCTTTAGTTTTAGACTCGAATGTGAAGCTCTATATATGTTTCACCAATACTGCTATGAGATGTTGTAGCTAACAATGTGGACTAAACAAGAATAAAACGCTATATGAGTTTAACCAACATGTTGTTATAAATGTGAATGTGTTTCAGATTTCTGTTTACGACTGTGACGTTCTGATAACTATTTGACGATACTGTCCAGTTTTCTGCAAATGGACTGGGGCTTGTGAGGACGTTACACCTACCATTAGGTTATGAAAAAGAATCTTTAGTTTTGTTTCAACTAATAATTCATATTTTCAAAAAATCCCAATGCAGGTTTGAAATTGTCTAATTCGACTTAGCAATCCTATTTGGATTTTGGTAGAGAATTTTTTTTTTAAAAATTCTTGCCCTTTATTTTAACCCGCTGAATACATTATCATCTGTGATGCACGCTGGAAGAAAAAAAAATAAAAAAAGAGTTAACCATTTAACGATTATGTTGCACAGTCTGTAAAAGTGGTTAAGTTAAAGTTAGTTGCGTATCCTTTACAGACCGTTGCAGAACCAACCACAAGCATTTTTGGCTGTTGTGGTTTTCATTGGCAAGTTTACGTCCAGTAGTTTGCCATTGCATCTGGACGGTCAGCTTCTCGATACCAATGTCGAAACCAACGCAAGGCGCAAGGCCCTCAGCTGGGATCGAACCCCGCACCCCGGCATTACAAAGCGCGTTCGTAACGCCTAAGCCACAGACGCCGACGTAAAAGTGGTACAGTGCTTAGATTTGTCCCCTGTCCTCACGTGACATATAATGATCGACTCATGTTTTTATAGTACAAACAAAATGTACTGTAACAAAATCAATCACCAAAAGCAGCCCAAAAAAAAAAAAAATTCGGTATTTATACTAACTTAGTGCTATCTATGCCACAAATAGATAGTCCTAGAAAAACATTCACGCAAAGTACTGTAACAAAATCAATCACCAAAAGCAGCAAAAAAAAAAAAAAAAAAATTCGGTATTTATACTAACTTAGTGCTATCTATGCCACAAATAGATAGTCCTAGAAAAACATACACGCAAAGTTACCACATGTGAGATGAGATGTTTAAGAAATGAGGCCGGTAAAACAAGAAGAGAAAGTCGCCACCAAAGAACAAGTAATAATGTCAGGCACAGTACCGGTAGATGATGTCATAGAACATCAAAGAACTAAATGCTTTTGTCATCTGGTCAGAATGGAAGAAAAATCAGCCAGCAGCTAGAGGATACTACAAAAGAACAGCATGCTACAAGTAAAGAGAGGCCCACTAAGAAAGACGTGGATGGAGAAAATGATAGAGGCGTCAACGATACCTAAAATGGCATCAACATAAGCTATGCAACTGACGAAAGACAGGAGACGAGACTTAATTCCTCTCTGCGAGGGTTTACGACAAAAACAGTAGGACAAAAGACAGTAAACTGCTACTCTCTGGGACGCTTTACGGCAAAAACAGCAGGACAAAAGACATTAAACTACTACTCTCTGCGGGGGCTTACGTCATAAACAGCAGGACAAAAGACAGTAAACTGCTACTCTCTGCTAGGGTTTACGTCATAAGTTGTAGGACAAAAGACACCAAAAAAAAAAAAAAAACTACATCTAACTACGCTCGGTGACGCTTTAGAGCATAAGCAGAATGACACCACACACACATACACACACATTGTTAAACATCTTAAGGACCTCTTTTACTTCCAGGATGTATACCCTACCCAAATTAGACTTGGGCAACCTGGACACTCGCAACTAGTTACAGAAATTGGTCACTATGCGTAATCGGTCCCAAGACTACAGATCAAGCAGGTGAGCGTCTAGTCGCTACACCACGGCGGTTGCACCATTAATAGAAACATCGTCTATGATGTGACCTCAAATCTTACAAGAATAAACAATTACTATAGCGATATCAACAGTTGTGACAATGGAGTGATGTAAAAGAACAACTACTAGATTGTGATTTCAACAAAAAACAAGAAACAAAAAACAAAAACTAATGAGGCAGTATACAGAACCGACTGCTAGAAGGTAATTTTAACAATGGGAAGAACAAGGCGGCAGTAGCGGGTACGACTACTAGAAACTAGATCTCGAAAAATTTGAAGACTGTTGAGATAGTAAGAGTAGCAGCTTTCAAAGTTGGAGTGCATCTGCATCAGAGGCGAGAAACCAACAGTCAACTCATAAATAAGACAATTCTGAGAAAGCATATCTGTCTTGTCTCTGTCCCTGAAATCGTGCACGCGACACTCGACTCCTGGAACATGACTAGAATCTGGAAGTGGACGAACAATCAGAAATTTCCATAGGAGTTTACGAAAGCAAAGAAGAGAAGAAGGCGACGACATTAGTGAAGATGATTGTGACAAACTAAGTGGTGGCAATATAGTGATTCATCATCTCATCAGTTCTCGTTATGCCTAAGTGACACAAAGAGGCTTCAGAGAGGACTTTCCATGCTCTCCTGTCCTGTGCAATCTTCAGTGCAGTTTTCCATGTCAAAGATGCCGCACTCAGGTCACTTTTCATCGTTCGTCTCCATGTTGTTTTTGGGCGCCTCTGTTTTCTCTTTCCCTCTGGTGTCCATGTGATAGCTGTTTTGGCAGGTATATCAGGATTCATTCTCATAACGTGGAAAATCCATTTCCATCTTCTCTTGGTTATCATACTGCCTAAGGTTTCTTGGTTTGTGGCTTGAAGTAGTTTAGTGTTTGAGATTGTATCTGATTAGTGATTAGGAATGAATATCATCACAGCACTCCGGACAGATCCATAGGTGCTCCGATCTCCTCCTCAAAAGTTCCACAAGTGTAAAACGACTGATGACGCCTGGTCTGTGTTGGATAATAAGACGTCTTGTCCTCTTAGTGAAATGTTCATTTCTTGCAGCTCCAGGCTGCACCCCCATGTCCATCAGTCTAGACAATGATATGGAGTCAAATCCTTTAGCGTGCTCCTCGGTACGGTAAGTGCAGCGCATAGCATTAATAACATCACTTTTGTCCAGTACTGGGCCAGCCATAGCATCTGCAGTGTCAGCAAAATAGTCTGCAATCTCTTTCCCTTGAACACCCGCATGATCTAGCACAAGGATGAAAGTTAGTGCAGATATTCGTGACGTGCTTAGTTTTTCAATCCATTCTTGCCTGATAAATCCAGCTTGGATTTTTTAAAGCATATTCATTGAGTCACTAAGAAAGCATAGGTGTGATCTTTTGAGTGCCAAGCCACGCTAAAGCCCTTGTTACAGCCATAGTTTCCATTGTGAGGCTACTAGTTGTAACAGCAAAGGCGCCATTCATCTCCTTGATGGTTTTCCCCCTTGAGCTTACTGTGAAGGCCCATGCACTTCGCTTGCCCCTAATTACTGACCCATCTGTGTTAAACTACAGCATCACCTTCATCTGTGTTTGCGTCAATCAGTGTTCTGACTAAAGTGTCAACAATGCCAGGAATCTGCTCTCTACAGCTTGCATCAAGTGTGATATGGACTGTAATAATAAATTTTTGGAGAGGGAGGCATACTTATCTATTCATTTTTAAAAATTAATGTCAGTAAGGCGGCAAATATGTTCAATGGCATCCTCAGCGCGACCCATCCAGGATTTACCTCGTTTGAGTCTACTCTTTTTTTTTTGCTTGAATAACTCCTTATAAAGTGGGTGTCGATGGTCTGATTTCACTTTGAAAAAAGCAACAGCTTTTGGATAGCTTGATTCTGTTTTCCATTGTAGGGAAATCCAAGAGGTATCGCATGGATTTACAGGAGGTGCTTCTAGCGCATCCAAGAATAATGCGCATTGCCCTGTTTTTCCATTTTTTTTCAGTCTGAATCAGTGTGGTGCTGAGTGTCATGATGGCCAAGGCATATTCAATGGTGGAGAGAACTAACGCACGATATAAAATTACAAGTAGCAGTTGCTTAAAGTTTGCAGCTCCCATAACTTTTATTGCAGAGACCTTTCTTTGCTTTGGTTATAATGTGGTCTACGTGTTTTTCAAATGCTAAGCATCTGTCAAATGTTATACCCAGGTATTTCATGCAAGCAGATCTCTCCACGTCAGCGCCACATAATTTTACTATCGGCATTGGTGTTTTAGAAAGATGATTATTTAATGAGAACCAGGTGACTGTCGCTTTTGATGGATTAATTGTTGCCCCTGAGGTGTTGCACCAGGATGATATGCCATCTAATTCTTGTTGTAGATCCGAAACAATGTCCTCTCTGTTCCTGCCTTGTCGGTACACGACAATATCATCCTCATATGATAGAGTTCTTCCTCTGCCACACAGTTGTTCTCCTGTGATCTTGACTGTGTAAATGTTAGTGGTAGCACTACCTATACGTCATGATGTTTATAATGATAACGAATATAGTGGTATCGATTAAAATATTGACAGAGCTGATAGTAAGACAGTTGTAGCAATGATAACAACAGTAGTAGCGACACATATCATCATTTATATCAACTGCCATGCTGATAGCTGTGGGCGATAATGCGTCTCCACATCATGTGATCTCCAAAAATAATCATCAGCCCATGTGCTGACACCCTTTCTTCTTCTCATTCACGTCCTCTGTTACTGCTTCAGGTGCCAAGGGAATTTCTTCTTCGTGCTCTTCTGGTCACCTGGACCATAGAAAGATCATGCTGTTGTAGAGTTTCTCTGATGTTATCTTTCCATCGTGTTAAGTGTCTGCCTTCCGCTCTA